TTGTTTGAAGAGATAAGAGCAATATGCGTGTGCACGGTCGACCGTGCACCGATAATTTCGGTCTGACGTTATTGTCTATTTCTCCTACCACAAGAGCCGGCGGAGGCATTTAGCTTAGTTTCTATTCAATATTTATTTCGTCATCGCCGCATCGATATATTCGACCTCGAAGCCGAATGACTCAAGCAATAACAAAGGTCGGAAAATTTATTCTGTCTCTTTCCGCATTTAAATATATTCTTATAATATAAAAATATTAATATAAGATATATTTCAATAAAATTATTTTTTGTTTATATAATTCTATGCAATATCTATGATTTATATATCTATGATTTAAAAGTTCATTTTTATTTTTTTAAATTTACTTCTTAAATACATTTTTATGTATATGTCTGTATAATTAATATATAAAAAATTTTAAATACTGCAACATTTACATCTATTGTTATAATATTATTATATTGACGCATCAACGAAATTTTGCAAAATAATAGATCGTTAAGACATAAATCTTAGAAACTGAAACGTATATATATAATAATATCAATATAACATTAACATGTACAGTTAAATTTTAAAATGAAATATTCTCATATTAATTGCGATTTAAAAGTGGGCTAAAAATGCGTACGTTTCAAAGTTTCTCTCGATGCATCGACAAAGGAAACCACTGTGTGCAGAAAAATGTGAAACGCGTCTCGCGTTTCTGCACGTTCTGCCGGCATAAAATGCAACTGGTTCGCACGAATGCGTTCCCTGTCGGCGCGGCGTTTTTGAGGATATTGCACGTATGAACGAGCCTTAAGAGTCCTCGTCCTAAGCTTAAGTGAGACAGAGAAAGTAAAGGAGAGACAGAGAGAGACGGAGAAAAAAGAACAGATGCATTCCAACATGGGAAGGTGGGATGGATCCGTCTCTGATAACCCGCCCATTGGAATGCGTACCTCGTACACCTTGGTGTATTCTCCCTCTCAGTTTCACTACACACCAGTGCATCTACCTACACACACACACACATACATACATACATCGCGTATATTCGGCAGTTATTTTTAGAGCAATTTTAACAGGCGGACATGTGGTAGTGTTTCGGATGCAATAACTGACATTCGAGAATTTATTCGTCGGGTAAATCGCGAGATCAAATATGTGGCATTAATTACGACCGATATAATTGTTCAATTGTTGTGTGTGTGAGTATAATTTTCCAACATCAAATAAAAGAGACGCAAAACGCACTGTGAATATGAAAATTTATATGAAAGCGAATTCATTACACTCTAAAAAATAAAATGTTAATTTTAACTTAAAGACATTTAGTGGACTTTCTGAGACATGCAAAAATGTTAAAATTAACACAAAAATGTTGATTTTAACATTTTTGCATGTCTCAAAGTCCATTAAACGTCTGTAAGTTAAAATTAATTACATTTTATTTTTTACAGTGTATATTTCATTATTTGCATCTATTGGAAAACAAAGAAATAAAAATACATTGCAATTTACCTTATTCGCATCGTAATATTCCCTTTAAAGAATAAGTGGGAAAGAATTAATCAAAATCGTACACAAAAAGAATTCTACCCGAAAAGAACGATTTTGCTGAAAGATCTAAAATTTTGCTGGATACGAATCTGTAAATAATTTTGTTGAACCATCAAAATAATTAGAAATTGAAAAATGATGAGCAATGCTGCAAAAAATTTTGATATTCTAGCAACCAGTTTGTATTTCCAAAATTATTTTCAATATCCAGCAAAATTTTATACCTTTCAGCAAAATCGTTTTCCATGTAAAATTAAAAATATGCGTTCACATTTTAACCATGAATTTATCAATTCAAGATATACTTGTAGAACGATTTCTTTTAATTCCCTTTCGTTAATTCTCAGAATACAAAAAGAGAGATGTCGCGAGTAATTTCTCGATTCTTTACGAACTTCGTTTCGCGGAAACGATCGTTGCACCTCCGAAGACATTCCTGCGCCAGTTCATTCATCGACTTTCGCATTGACGCCGCAATTACCCGCTGAATGGAAACGATTGCGGCCGTGGACGTGTCGCGTGCATCGGAACGAGCTTTTGATACACCTTGATGCATTCTACTTCTCGGCTACTGCTGCGATTTGATTGCGAATGTACGTAACGACCGCAACGTGTTCGAGGAGGTTATTTTTAGACCGGTCCAAGACTATTTTTAGAAGCGGCCTGCCCACCGGCAGCTTAACCCTGACTTACGTCCCTATGTCTTCGTGGACACCGCAGGGACACCGCGAAGATCGGTGGACCATTAAGCGCATCAGCCGAAAGACGTGCGGTCGCCAGAAAATGAGCAATGCACGAAACACGCGGCATATTTTCTGGCCACTCATTTAAATTTTTGACATTCAATCTCTCGTCACTGAAGCGTGCTCGTTTACCATGACTTATAAATTACGATACATAATGATTATTATTCATTAATGATAACAGCGAAAGATAAAACCAATTTTTTATTATTCACGGACATTTTAACGACATAAAATTGTACTCTCTTTGTTAAATCATATTATCGTCTTACTTCAATTAAACCCTCATCAAATAAAGAACAATGATGTTTGGAAAGTGCACGTACAGTACATGTACCTGTGGAGAATATCATGATCGTAAAGATCTTAACCGTGAAGATCGTTCCGAAGTCGTGTGCTCTAGACTATCGGAGTTTATCGGAATCGAAGACGAGGCTGAACAGTAAAACTAGGTATTACGATCACACAGGGCGATGACGCAAGCTTCCGAGCTTCTATTTGCGGCAACTACAGATCAAACTATTCTCTCAAGCTCATGTTCTGATTTCGCGCTGATGTGACGTTCTGCGCATGTATGTCGAAAAGAGTGAAAATCTTGAGATTAAATAGCCAATTTTAAGATAAAGAGACTCTAATCTTAAAGAGATCTCAGAGAAATCTTAACGAGAAAGATTAATGAAAATCCGGGAAAGTAACAGATGAGATTTTTAACTATAGCATGCATAAACGCCTATATATTTTCGAAAGTGGCATTTTTATGACTATAGGCCCTTCCATTTCTTTCCATTAGACCGTTCCAGTAGCGCGTTCCTTATAGAAATAAAAAGAGTTCCACATTTTTTTAAAATCAAAATTGAAAAAGTAACAGCTGGAACTCCGTTTGAGAATGATTGTAGAGCATAGAATTCTACTAGAATTAATGAGAAATGTTGAAATTGCGACAAATTATCAGCACACTTTTTCCAAGTGCCATGATATCTTCTATATTTAAAATCTATTAAAATTGGTAATTGTTGGAATTTTGTTTTCAAATTACATACACACACATATATACATATACATACACATTATATATAAGCATTGCAAATTTATCGGAAGCATACCACTGCATAATGTCTCCGATAAATCATGCAAGGACACTTATGATTCTTCTTAGTATCTATTCATTAAACTGTTCACTAAAATAATGACATTGGAAATACTAATATATATCTACGAATTTGCAAATAAACAGTAATAAAAATTCGCTGACGTAATTCCCTTCATTCGTCATCATATTTGTGATTTATAGAATGCAAAATATATATCGTGTCATATGTATTTCCAACTGCCTACGAAGTGACCCACTTTTCGAGAAGGAGGTGAACGAAATAAACTCTATTTCATTGGAATATTTTACGGGAAGACGGTCGCTCCAGTCGTGACTAATAAAAATAACGATATATTACGAGACATATATTTATAGAGAGAAAAAGAGCTGGAGGCCACCCTCGCACGATTGCTTATAATTAGGTCGAAGCCTATTAATTATTTTCGATGCTCTGCCAGAATATCGAAGAATTATGACCGATTCAATAACGAACCGCTTGCGTGCATCTTCCCTCACTATTCGGTTATTGTATCTGTCGCATGCAATGAATAATGCATTTTTGTCCGGTGATTAACTGTCTAAATTAATTTATTGCTTTGAACGTGATTTTTCCGAAACCAATGAGTGATTTGTAAAAAATATTACGATGCATTTTAATTTAGTAAAATAATTAAAGTCGAGTGTCATTTCAAATTATTTTCCTAAAATATATATTCAATATTTTTCTGTATTCAAAATTTAATATTTGCATTGTTTACTTTCAACTTTCTACACATAAAATATTAAAATTATATCACTTGTACAAAGCATCTGATGAACTAATTAAATAAAGTCAATATTAGGCGAGGCTTCATATTTTTATATTTTTATATTAATAATATTCGATGAGCTCACATAAATTTTTCGCTAGTTTTTTATCCATGATTATATTAGTCGACGCACAGAAGAATCTTTGTTAATAATGCCCTCATCATCATCGAGCTGAGTTCGTAATTAGCACGCTCGATAAAAACGCCGACGAAAGATCGTTCACAAAAAGGACCGCTTGATTTTTTAATTTGGGCGCTCTTCTGTTTTCTCTCAACTTTCTTCACCCCATCTCCTTTTTGTCAACCGTCTCCCCGCCCCCTGACGACAACACTATCTCTAACGTGAATGGATGCACAGTGTTCGACATTTGAAGCGTAATGACGCGCGTGCACTTAAATATAGTGGCTCTGGAGTCTGTGAGAACTCTGGAGAAGAGAGGAAAGTTTCGGCGACGTGCCTCATAAAAGTAAACCGGAGATTCGAGACAAGAGTTTTAAAAGTTGCAGCTGATCAAGCCCTTCTTTTATTATATTTTCGGATTAACACTGCACTCTAAAGTGGATTTAATACCATGTGGTATCTATATGTAATTCTCACCGTGTGGGTGTTAATATTAACACCAGGATGATATTAACACTAATAGTGAGAATTATATAGACATCGCATAGTGTTAAATCCATACTAATATTTTTTAGAGTGTGTACACTTGGCTAATGTATAAAAGATATAGTTGTAATCAGAAACAATGTAATGATAATTTGTTGACCCAGATTTTTCTCGGTATAAATATGAGTCTGCTTTAATTGCAGGTTAACAGTGGTTCTCCGGCGGAAGCTGCCGGTCTTAAAGCTGGCGATGCGGTTATTAGAGTCAACACCACTGACATGTACAATTTGAGGCACAAGGACGCGCAGGATGTCATAGTCAAGGCCGGAAATAATTTCGAAATAACTGTCCAAAGGTAAGATGCTGAGCATAACAAAGCTTGATAAACACGAATGATTCATATATTTAAAAATATACTTCAATGATCTCGGCTTGACTTACGTCAAGCATTAACGTCTAATCAACATTATTGCGTTAATCAGCAAAAATATCGCGTCATTCATTATTCTAAAATACTTCATTATTATAAAAGCTAATCATATAAAAAAAGCGGCTTCAGTCAAATTGGCTGAAATTGTGATATTTTGTAAATTATGAAATGTGTGTGTGTATGCTGTTTAAAAGTCTCCATACATACAATCATAAAAAGGACAGATTTTAGTGCAATTATTTGAAAGCTGCTATTTTAGATTTAATGGGACTGAAAATACCTTTATCTATATTTATTAAACTATTCATTTTTTAACAATTATACCTTAATATTTCAATAGAACGCACAGAATAATGAATCACTTGATGTAAAGAAAATACATAGTTGCTTTTCAAAAAAATTATGCAATGTACAATATGCAACTACATATCTTTTTTGAGAAAATAATTATGTATTTTCTTTACACTAATTAATTCTCTTTATTATTCTGTGTATAAAAATATTAAGGTATAATTAACAAAAAATGAATAATTTACTAGATAAAGATACTTTCCGATTAGATTCAAAATCGCAACTTTCAAATAAGGCTACAGCAAAATCTATCCATTTTATGGTTATGCCTATGGAGATTTTTAAAAAGCATTTTATAATCTATAAAATATCCAATTTAACTAAAACCATTTTTTGCATCTGATTAGTACAGAGTCCTTTAAGATTCTTATAAAAAATAAAAAGAAACCAATCTCTATACATATAAAATTTCCGCTTTCGTAAAAATCGTTTAATTTTTTGCATTCTGAACAAATGTACGTTATTCTCGTAATAGGAATGTTATGCTTTTATTTAAAAAATTGCGACCGATGTATAATTCGCAGCCCACCGCCGTGTTTTAACGGGCGATAAATTATCATTACAGAGGAGGCAGTACCTGGAAACCGCATGTGACTCCTGCAACCACAAGTTTACCGTCTCCGATGCACACCGCATCCACGGGTAACATCACGCCAGTCACAAAGACTTCTTTGGCAGCGAAAAAACAAGACGGACCTCTCATCGGCAGCGGACACAATTTCAGCCCCAAGCCATTCGTTAGTATCGATCGTTAATCCGCGTCTGCCGGCTGCACTGATTCTGCAACAAAAACACGAAAGGCAGTTATTTTTCTATACCGGAACGTAATAATTTTCAGCTGAACGGCACCGGCGACGGTCCAATTAAGTCCATCGTGAACAAACAGTACAACAGCCCCGTGGGGATCTACAGTGAGGAAACAATCGCGGAGACATTGTCCGCTCAAGCGGAGGTCCTTGCCGGAGGTGTCCTTGGGTAAAATCGCGAAACTGGATTGAAAAGAGGAATAATTAATGATGGGATTAAAATATTTGTTTTCTAAAATTATTTTTAGATTGAAATTACACGATTAAGATTATAACAAAATTTATAATCATTATCAAAAAATGTTCTTGCAAGTATTAATTAAATAATATTGAAAGAGTCCATGAAGAACGAAATTATATGATATTAGAAATCATCTAATTTCTCAGTTACTCCCTTTAATAAATGTTATTAATCAGTTAATTTTGCTGGTTAGCTTTATGAGCGTAAAAAGGATTTATTAATAAATGCAAATATTGCAGGGTAAATTTCAAAAAGAATGAGAGGAATTACAATGCTGAGAACAGCGAGGTTTTCAAAATGGTCCAAGAAGCGGACAAGGAGCCAAAGACCCCGGAACCTGGTTAGTAACATATTCTACATAATATAATTTCTGAAAAAATTGAATTCATTAATACTAATATATGTAAACGTAATTAGTTTTATTATGCAAGTACACATACACAAAAGATATACGAGATTTAAGAGCTAAAAAGCGCAGATTGCTCAAAATTCATGCCTATTCGAGTATATTACTTATTAAAATCACTAGTCTACGATGCAACTTAAATAACTTTTTCTTTTCTTCAAAATATTAACTTCAAAATCTTGCAATATCAAACTTCAATAGTGAAATTTTTGCATAATGAAATTTTTTAATAATTCGTTATTTATCTTCTCTATGTTACTGCAACTATAATCTTTTGATTTGCAGTATCTACATTTGGTACGTAGAAGATATTTTGTAAAATTACATAAAAAAAACAAAAATCTATTTACAAATTATTCTACCTGAAATTTATTTATCTGCAATAATAAATTAATTTTGAATCAATAAATAAATCTTTCTAAATTTATCTAAAAAATCGATACGTTCTTCGGCTGGGCCAGAATCGGTTCCAGCCAACCTGTTGCATGCCGATACGATAACTTGTTTGCGAAATAGCGGAGCCAAATGTCGTGAGCGGCGTGATAACGCCATCCTCGCCCGCCCTGACAGGACTGAGACCCGTCCAGGCACCGGAAACCAAGCCACAGACACCGTCAACGCCGCAAACGAGTCTACCACCAGGACAGAACATTTGTGCCGAGTGCGAAAGGCTCATCGTGTAAGTTTAAGTACTCGGGACGCGTTTTGGTTTTTATTTTCAGAGACTAGACAAGGCGAGAGAGGAGATAGTGCCGATAATCACGATGGTATCCTACGACGACAATCGTTTTCCATTTGCGTATCGAATGTCGTGCGAATTTTCAATTCTCAGATTAGAACTTCACAATTTATGAGATTTATATCTATATTAATTTAATTCTTAGATAAATTAATTATATATCTAAATAAAATCTGCGGAAGAGTCTCTTTTGGATTATTCAATAATGATGGTTTTAATCTAAGAATGTAGAAACTCGCATGAACCGCGGCGAACGCGATCGCCTTCGTTGAGCAGTCATATTTGATTCGACATTTCCCCGTTGCTGCCCAGTTGTTATGGCGCTTTTTCTCTACTTCCATGTCGTAGTTCCTTCAAGGACAGAATTTTACTCCTCGGTGAGCCACGCGGTTGGCGGAAGGGCCACTTCACCGAGGTCACCTACGCCTCTGTTTCATGCTATGGGCGGTGGTGGTAGCGCACCTGCCGATAGCAGGCACTTTGTATGGATGGACGAATCGTACGGGAAGAATCGGGAACCACAACCGCAAAAGCAGGAATCTTCTGCTGGGTCGGGCTCGTCGACACCGGGCGGGGTCGTTTGTTGCAACTGCGACCGAGTGATCGTGTAACTATTTACGAGCGAGACTCTTGCCACCCAATTGTGCACAAGACGGCCACGGCGAGTTTCGTTTTGACGTTTTTAAGGTGTTAGCATTCGCATACCGAGAGCGATACGATGCGAAAGTTTTTAGAAATTATTAACTGTGATGGTTCAGATTCTTAGAGAGTCTATCAATCGCAAAAGATTATCTGTATTGAAAGTTGCTTTAATGATAAATTTGCAAAAATTATTTAAACAATAAATTATTAATAAATTTATTTTGATGAATTAAATTTCAATAATGAATTCAATTAAAATAAACTCGTGTAAATTGACCCCCCAACTTTTGGAAAAATTAACTTTTTATGGCTCATTTGATTGCTAATCGTTTGCACATTTCGTATTTTCGTTTGCATACTATAGCAATTGAATGAGCTATAAAAAGTTAATTTTTCAAAAGTTGTGGGGCAAACTTCACACAGGTTTAAAATAAATATTATATTAATAAAAATTTGGATTGAACTTAATAAAATATTCTTTTTAATTAGAAAATTTTAATAGCATTAACTGTTAAATATTTATAATATTAATAAATGAGAAATATTATAGAAAATAATAATAATAATTCGTAATTGTAGAAAATAATAAATGTAATTCGTAATCTCATCGTTCTCAGAGTTGGCGATTCATACGCCTCGTACAATCGTCAAAAGCGACGCTGTTCTGAGTTGCTCGATTGTCGTATGCTAGTATCATCTTAAAGATTCCAATTCGAAGAGAATATGTGCACATCTCTTTCCCAAATTACATAAATGTTTAAGTTATAAAAATGTAGAGTTGTGTTATCGAATAACAATATATAATAAACATTTTATATCGGATAACAATAAATCAGGCCCAATAATAAATGGGAATAGAAAAATTATACTATAAATAAACGATACAAATTTACGTAACAATTTTATAATTTGTAAAAATTAATTTACGCGATAAAAGAAGTGCACATTTATCTCCTTGATGTGTTCAAAGCACGCCTTTCTCTACCGCCACTTTTCGTCAACATCGCTTGTTCAGGAAGAGCAAGCACTTCGATCGTTATGCATTTTTGTTATCACTGTTATCTCTGGAAGAATTCTGATCATTCGAGCTTATAGCTTACAACCTACTGGAAGTCGTATCTGGGCGAGACGAAAGTTTCTCACTCGCTCACAGCTTGAATGCAACCCTATCTAAATGTCTCTTTATTCTCTGCACTTTACTCTCTTAATAGCACCTTTCGCACATTTATAGCACACTGAATGACTGATAGTTAACGTATAAAAACAAAACTGCTTTCGATGTTGTGAATATTTTTGTGGATTTTTATTTTTGTCATATTTTTTTAGAACAAAATCTTTTTGTGGTACTTTTCTATCTCTAATTTTTTTCTATGCTCGACGAGGGAACACAATCTTTTTTTTGCCAGAAAAAAATTTATAGACCGACAACATATTTTACGACCAACAAAGACCTAACAACAACGACAAAGTTATACTTGATTTTTCATTATTTTTTGCAACATTATAGATGTTATGATAAATATATTTGTTTTTTTCTGAAGAAACAGATCATAAGCTTGATTACTGTAAAGAAATACAATATCGAAATACAAACGAACACAATACAATCCAACATTACTCTTCAAAACATTCATACATATTATCATCTACTTAGTTTCAAATTTAATTATTTTTTACGGTGTTATATTTTTTTGAGATTCACTCCGCTATAGAAATCAACTTTAAACACGTTCTTTGTAGCTTTACTTGTCTCATCGCTTTCATTCGAATATAATTCTCAGGGAGATTATATATAAATAATTAATAGTTATTTCCGGCCTCCTTCGTCGAGGTATCGAGTTTCTTACGTCTCTTTCTCTCCTTTTTCTAGAGTGAATAGTAATAAAGTGTAAAACTCGTGGCACATCCGATGCGCCATCATCTGGTCGTTTATTGTTGTTACATTAAAAAAAATCAATTACTGTACTGAGATGCAAAATAATCGCGTTATTAACCTACTTATTCTTTCTCAGAGGTGTCTTCGTCAGGATCAAGGATAAGAACCTCCACGTGGAATGCTTCAAGTGTTCAACTTGTGGCACGTCCCTGAAGAATGTCGGTTACTACAATATCAACAATAAATTATACTGCGATATTCACGCGAAACTCGTCGCTAGGCAAAATGCTCCGGCTGGTCTTGTACCTCTTACTATACCACCGTGAGTTATATAACATATAGTACTCGTCTTAAATATTACACGCTTGAAAAGTTTAATATAAAATTTTATAATAAATAAAGATAAAAAATAACGATATAATATACATATAAAACAGAAGTATACAGAAATACAAATAAATGTATAAATAAATAATGAATAAGTTAGGATGATAATGAAATGCAAATAATTGAAAAGATATATCCTTTACGATTCGACAGAGGTGGCAAAGCACCAGCTAGTACCATTAGCGCGGCATTGGCGAGTGCACCTTTATCGCCACCCCTCAGCAATCACGGATCGTCGCCTCAGCCATTCTCCGTGAGTTGCTTCATCATAATTTGATTCTCTTTACGAGGCATGGTCACGAGCGGACTTTTTCGCGCACGCATTTTCTTGCCTGTTTTATGCATGGCTTATGAAGCGAGTATTTTGTATTGAGCGTGTGGCTTTGCTGCACGTAATTTCACGGAATTTTTTACGATCGCGAATCGGGCGAAGGTCGCAGCGAAATTTCTCGCTCATTATAACGATTTCTCTCTCGAATTATACATGGAGAAAACAATAGCATAACATGGTACTTTTAAAAGATTCAAACTTTGAGAAATTTTTGTGGTGAAATAGAAAGAGAGTTCGTTAAAATATTCATGTATCAAATATTTGAAAATGTATCTCCGTGATGTATTTTAAATACTAATTATAAAACAATCGCATTTATCTCTTTTACATTCTTACAAAATTGACAAAAATAGTATAAAAATAATTTACGACTTTGTGTGAAATTTTCTTCACGATAAATGATAAAATATTTGATTATAGTTTCACGATTATTGCACCATGTGCCACGAAAGATCTGTTTCCGACGAGCGGAATGCGCGCGCTTATCTTGAGAGTTTAACAAGTGTGGTCCTTGCTTGGCACTAATCGCTTTTCCAGGCGTGCAATCGTACCAGTCCCGAGTCCGGATTTCAGCATACGTGGCGATCAACTTCGAATACGAATGGATGCATCAAGAATGATGAATGCAACGGCGAGTCGAAAACGTTCACGAGTACGATCACCATCCAAACAGGTGGCACAGAGGTTGGCAATGTGCTCGAAAACACTCGATTTCTACATTCGCTCATGCTAACGTACCTTTCATCGTGATTTCCTCGTGTAGTCATCAAATAATTACAAAACCAAATTGACGTAAACGAGATAAAATATACAGCAATTTTTCGTTATATGTATAGTATATCATAAAATATTCCATATTTTTATGATATATGTATATTGTATATACATTAAATTAAATGTTAGCACGTCACATTTTCAATTTTGATTTTTTAATATAAAGAATGAGGAATCTTTTTTTATTTTTATAAAGAAATATAGAACTTTGAAAAGTGCTACTGGAACTGTCATTGCTTTTTTAATATTAATAAAATGTCGTTCTAACTTCACAAATCCACATAAAGTGGGATTAATGAAGTTCATAATATTCTATTAATATGAAAAAAATAATGACAGTTCCAGTAGCACTTTTGATATTTCTTCTGTATTTTTTATATTAAAAATTAAAATATGAAAAACTGAAAATATGAAAATTATTTGAAAATATATATATCGCCGGAACTCTGTTTAAAAATAATTGTAGGACATAGAATTCAGCTACAATAGAATTAACGAGAAATATCACTTGAATTGTGATAAACTTTTTTTGCAAGTGTCGTGCTGTCTTCTACATATATATATTTTACATAATACATATATATATATACACACAATTTATTACATTTTTCATTGATTATGCAAAACGAGAAATGTATCTAAAAATTTTTGTTAATAATTAATACACTAATAATCATCAAAGAGCCATGTATACTGAAGTAAAAATCATGATTACTAAAATGTCCTTGAAGTCGATTACCTAATTATATTAATAATTATATTCGCGACCGACTATTTCGAACTCGTGACTAATTAGTCTGTCGTAATTGAGAACGTTTCTGCCTCTTCTCTCTCCCTCTCTTTCCCCCCCTTTCCCTCTCTCTCTCTCTCTCTCTCTCTAATCTTGTTTTTAATCATTCGTCCCACATGACATCGTTGTGTCGTTTTGTGCAGCCCACCACCCGTTTTGGCACCCCGCCCGTCGATTCACCGAGCTTACGATCAGTCCAGGTAAAGTCCCAGCACGATTCGTAACGCTCTAATTGATCTCGATCGCCCTTCAAGATTGTCAGTATATAATTCATCCCATAAAAATTGCTATTCGAGACATCGTTGCTTTGTTTCAACGCGGAAATTAATTCAAATTGTCATCGAGAATATATCAAGATAACATAGTTAACTATAAAGTGATATTTCACCAGTGGAAATTGTTAACCTTAGAGCATATTTCAAGTATAGTGTATCTTGATGTCTTCTTTCTATTTTCTCTATTATCAAAAATATGAAAAACTTAAGTTTGAAACTGCTAAGCTGTTTTCTTCCTTTTTTTTACAGTGAACTTTCAACTTATGAAAATCTAAATTCAAATTTGACATAATGTAAAACGCAATGAAGTTTTAAAATAATTAATAAATGTGAAGATAATATATTTGCTTTAATTTACTTAAAAGTTGGTTAAAATTATTCTATTTATACAAAAATAACAATTTGTAAAAACTAATGATCATTATGCATATTCTTTTAATTCCATGGTTCTAAATATAAATAATAAAAAATAAAATATATAAAATAAAATTTTTAAACAGGTATAAAATTACTTTCATGTATAATATACACAGGGGTGTAGCAATTAGTTATCCCCAAAATTTCATAAGCTTATAATCAAATTGTGTGCAATGCAATTGCTTGCATGTGACCTCCATAGCAGAAATAACAGTTTTAAACACGGGAGGAGTACAATATTCCTTGAGACTTTGCGCGATATGGGTCACTGATTAACCTATCGCACTTTTGCATTAACAGGCGTTATCGAAGCAGCGAAATCTCGCATGTTTGGCTATATTTGGCACTGACAACCTTTTACAATCTGTTAATTCTGTGGTTGTGATTTTAATTTACACCTCGTTTCTTATAACAAGAGAGTACTTTATTTATTTGACTTCAGAATTATCACAATATTCTAAAGAAGAAATAATTGATGTGAAATAAATTACTATATTGTTTTAAATGCACAATGCTCCATTTCTTATATAACAAATTAAAACATATATATTACCATAATGATAATTAAAGAAGAAAATTTGTAAATTTACAGGCACCAACGAGCAACAATCTCGTTGGTCCTAAGCCCTTCGGTGGATCGAGTGGAAGTTTCTCATCGAATTTGTCTCCGACTCCGACATTAAATTCCGGAAGCAATACCTTGCCACGTCCTCAAAGCCAGACTGTGACAGGTAAGTCAATCTTATTATTATAAATATATAAATAGATATGATGTAAACTTAAAGAACTGATGCAACACAGGGTGACAAAAAAACTCGTGTATTTTTTAAGATCAGTGTTTGATAAAAAATATTGCAAAATCCATGCTTAGATATTTATATTTATGTAATTCACGTTATGTAATATCACTTAAAAATATTTATCATGAATATAAAAGAGGAATTCAGGTAATGTAAGATGATGACGTTAATTTTAAAGATGTATTGAAATCTTTTCTGCGATAAATCGAAATATTCGATCTATAAGCAACAACGGATAGAGAAAGACAATTCTATCGCCTTTTCTTCATCATTTTTTTGATTCGGAAACTGCGTCGATTTTACGCAGTTATCTGAGAAGTTCAAAGAAGCAATTTCATAATCGGTTTAAAATAATCGTGATCTTGTCTTATACGTCCTTGTCCTAACTCTGCCTTCGATTCTTGCAAATAGGTCGGTACTCTACCCTGCCAAAGCCAAAAAGTTCGCCTTTCAGAGGTACGACGAATAGATTAGAGCCGTCGGTTGACCGAGTTTCGAGCTTTGGCTGATACGCCTCCTTTGGCTTACATTCTCATATCTTATATCGCTCTTTTTCCCTTGCACGCAGCTCGTATATACATGTATCATTATATCGATCGATCGATCATTGGTCCTCGCTGGTCTATACAGTGTGATGGTCTCTTTAAATAGTGATAGAGAGAGAAAAGGAGGGAGGTTTTCTCATAGTTTCGATCGTCTCATTCTTGGCTCCTTATCATTCGTCGTTATCTCGACGACGACGGCGAACTCTGAGAGCTATGACAGTTTGTAACGACCTTTCAATACACGCTTTTATCCCTTCTTACTTTCATACTTTAAAAATGTGCACGATACACTCGGAAAATTGTTCAAAATAGCTGTATCTTAATTATTTTAAATATGTTATCATGAAAGAACAAGATCAAATTATAAATCTGATATTTAATATAATTTAATAATATTTATATGCACATTAAGAAAATGATAAATACTCTCCTTTGTAATCTTTCTTTCTTCTTTCTAATAATTTTTATATATTTTTTCTTTTAAAAAATTTATGTAATATATGTTTTATAGTTGATGCTTAGTTTATTACTTCAGATATAATATAATATTTTTTTATATTAAAAGTGACTTATTTAAAGTATTATTTTCAATAAAGAAATTTTATATTGTTAACTTCATCATAGAAATATTATATTTACGAAAACCTAGCATTAACTTTTCTGGAAAGTACATAGATCGATCCCCATGTCTACTCGTGCAATTTAACCGCGTGTTATCGTGCTTTTTCTTTCCGCGCATAATCTTTCTTTTATCTTTTTTCAGCCGGTCCGTCTTTCAACCCGAAACCCAGACCCTTCTCCCTCACATTCGCATGAATCAATAGCTCTCAATGGCGCCGTCGTCGTCTTCATGCTGGCAACCGAAATGCAAACACGATCCAGATGATAAAAGTGCCAGACTATGAAAAATGATTTCACTACTCACGATTTTTCTTTCCAGTTTTAATTAAATAATATGGATGAGAGAAAAGATGTCTCTAGTTATTTTAAAATATGTCTATCAGTTTAACAATATAATATTGCAATACTTATTATATTATATTCTGATCATATTTGGAATTGTTTTTGTTTTATCTTTTCCAAGAAAAAAATCGTGAGATAGCACACATCGACTTCTGTTATTTGGTGACACATTTTGTATTGTCATCAATCCAGGGTGTTGAATAAATAAATGCAGATGTGAAATAAAGCACAAGTTCTTCGTTGAACGTACGCATATCTACTTTGATTTTTTTTACATTATTGCGCCACATCATTTCTTCAATACACGCCCATGAATTGACATTTACAGCATTTTTCTTCGCTTTACATCAATGATCTCAAACATTCGAGATGTATTGATGCTATAATACGCATTGTTCTCGTAGAATCTTTTTGCTACTTACGACCGGTTTGAAAGTGACGTTTAACACAGGAAGGCACGCAGCTTTCACGCTGCTCTATTTAAAGTACCGAGTGATTATCACAAGAAATGCACAGTTGTTGATTTAAATAATAACGATTAAAAAAAGATCTTTTCACGAAGACTAAATCTTTAATTTAATACCTTATAATTCTGCTTCTTTTCTTAATTTTGCATACCGGGCTGCGCTTGTGGTCCTCTTCCGTCGAAAAAAATCAAATCAAATAGAATTATTTATTAATTAAATCAATATGACTCTGTCCTACTTTGTCATTTTTTGAATATCTTATTTCAGAAAAATACTTTACAAATATAAAATTAACAATATATTTTACACATTTTTTACAATAAAAAAAGGTCAAGCAAATATCTTTTAAGATATATTTGCACAAACGTATAACGACAGATATAACAGATATATTTTTATTATATATAAAATAAAATATTGATAGTATTATAATAAATATTATTATTTAAAAAATATTTAATTACATTTTCTCACCTACATTTTTGTATCATAATTGATGTGCAATTAAAACCAAAGAGACTAGTCAGTTTCTGATTGTAAGAATTATTTGTCAAGGTTAAATTATTTATTGCATATTTAAAACACATATATACTTTTATATATTCGGAAAGGGACCACGGGTGCGCGCGGTTCATCGTGCTTCTTACTTACTGCAAATTTCTCTGTTTTTTGTCTGTTCTTTCTAACGTACCCTGACGAATCTAATCACTTATCCTCCCGAACGTGTGTATTATACACTTTTTGTGTGTCGTGTTTTCTCTTCCCTGCAATTCCGGCGAACTATCTTTATCGCCCATCGCCATCCCCATTTGCCATCTCAGAAACCTCCAACAGCGAGACTTACGAAAGATCCTATTATCACGAGGTCGTAGAAAACACGAAAGATCAGTCCTTCCGTCCCGGCTCCGTAAGATCCCGTCGGAGCCTCCTTTGGCCACCTCCGAAGTCTATCGAAGACATAACATATCCCACTGCCAGTCCTCTATATATCAATCCGAATCCTGTTCTCGATAAAACGTGCTATCAAATCAAAGAGAAACGCGCTAGTATTGAGGCTTGCGAACGAGCTTTGAGTCGTAGAACTGAGAGACATCGAAGCGAAAGCATCGATCGTGAGGTCGAAAAGGTATTGAGAGAAAACGGTCGTCGGCACGAAACTGACGTGATGGACCGGCTGAGTTGTTCTGGACAACCAGTATATCGGCGTATCGAGCTGTGGGATACCAATAGTAGAACCTCTCGATCTGATGTGACAACCTCAAGGCCAAGTTCAACTGATAGCGTCCGAAGGTCGCTGACGCCCACCAGAATCGTTCAACCGACTCCGAAACCGTGGACTGCGACTGTCAGCAGCGGAGGTACCAATCTCTATCAGCAGAGTTATGCAATATCGGCAGAGCAGGAACAACCTGCAGGACAAATTTACAAGAAATTCATGCAACGGGAAGTTTGTCGAGAACGTATATCGGGTGGCAAGGAACATCGGGAGGAACAACGAGCTTATAGAACAGAGATCTGCCGAAGGGAGCAAATCTGCCCGAAACCGCCCTTACCCGCACCTAAGCAAGAGCCAGCAGAGACGGTTAAAGAAATAGACACTGAGGTAACCAATCTAAGAGGTGACGAGACGGATGAAGGAGAAGTCTCAAAGGGAATTCAAGGCGAACATGATTTCATCACCGAGACGGCTGAAGAGACGGTGGACGGTATGCACACGAAGCAATCGGCAACTTTTGAAAAGACTGTGGAGAGAGTGTCATCACCGATGGAGAGATCTAATGTTCCGATGATAGAGGAAGCGGAAGACAAGATGGAGTCTCAGTGTTTCGCGAGAAGAACTGAAAAATACATTGATCGAAAGGTGGAAGACACAACGGAACGAACTGTGGAGGAGTCCGCCGAGATGGTTACGTCGGCCATCGACACTCAACAGATGTTGGAAAAAGCAAAGCAAGAGGAAGAGAAAAGAAAGAAAGAAGAGGAAGAGGAAGAGCGAAGAAAGGAAGAAGAAGAAAGAAGAAAGCGTGAGGAAGAGGAACAAAGACGTCAAGAAGAAGAAGAAAAGAGAAAACGAGAAGAGGAGGAAAAGAACAAAAAGCATGTGACTTTCAATGAAGAGGATGAAGAGATCGAAGAAGTGCGAGAGCAGCCGCTGGGTAGAACTGTCGTACGAGAAGAACGCATCACAGAATCAGACGGGTCTACTCCGGGACGTTGCAAAATCACAAAAGAGACATACGAAGAGATTACCGAAGAAGTGTTGGTTCAGGAACGCGTCAAAAAAAGAGGAGCCGTAGAAGACGAACGTAGAAAGAGCTTGCGTGAGCAAGTAGAGGTTCATCAGAGTCTTCGAGATCAACAGGCGCCGGAGAGACGAAATGTTGTCGCGAGATATGGGCAGCAACCTCAAGAGACTATGGAGTCGTGTAAGAAAAAGGTGCAGTTTTTGAAAGAGACGGAGACAGGGCCGAAACCTCTGTCTGACACGCCTGTAAAAAATTCTACACCCAAGGAGTGGAAATCTGAAATGGTAAACGCCCTGACAACCGTATCTGATCGTCCTTATACGCCGCTGAATGCCACTTCCAGCGTAAAAGAACTATATACCGAAGAAACCATTTACCTAGACCATAGGTGTCGCCCTAAACCGCCGCCCAAAGAGGAGATCCGCCCAATCTCACCTTTCCAGCAAGCATTAACGATAGCGCCTGAACGATCCTACACTCCTCTGAGCCGTGAAATTGGACCAGAAGATCAACAAATTGTCACTAGATCGCAAACTCCAAGTCTTCAGTTACAAAATACCGAATACTGCCCACCATTAGGTATTCTATACGGTAAAGAGGATACAACAAGAGAATCTTACGCACGAGAACAGATATATATGAAAAAGAAAGTCAAGGAATCGAGGCCGCGACCTTTACCTACTCCGCCACCTGATCATCGTCTGAGAGACTCTTCAGCGTCACCTGCTGCGAGACCTCATCCAGAAACTCCCAAATCATCTAAATCTTTTACAGCTGATTTGAAAAAGCCAGACGCCATACCAGCCTATCAGAAGAATTTGGTGGCGATGAAGAAAGGACCTGTAGAAGGTCAGCCATTCATTCCTAGTAGAACACCTACTCCGACGCCTCGCAGATCCAAGTCACCTGCTCAAGGACCGCCCGAACCACCAGCTTGTTACGTAAAAACTCGAGCCCCAAGAATTCGAGAAGACCCACCACCACCGAAACGCGGTGGAGCAGTGCATTTTCCTTCGCGTAAGACCATCTCTTACCATGTAGAGGAAGATACTGATAGTGGTCACAGGAAGCAGGAATATTCTGCTTCGAGAACCGTCAACTACGATGAGAAGGAGACCAACAGTCTCAACGCAGGTCCGACGGAGGCACTTTATGCCCAGTTTCAGGAAACACGGTGTATGACGAGTGAAGAAACTAGCGAGCAGAAAAATACTGCAACTCACGTAAAGAAAGCACTTCAAGTAGTTGAAGATTACGAGAAATGTCAGCAAAAAGAGATATTACCGGCGGCATCACCACCGCAAAAGCCGAAACCAAGCATCTGTGCCATTAGTAAGGTAAGCCATACGAAGCCCACTTTATCATGTCCCATGACAACAACATCTGCGCCAGTTAGACCGACCTACAGTAGTTCCACCGAAGTACGTCACGTGCGATATGAGACTCCTTCACCAAAACCTTGTCCAGAAACAGGAGTGACCGTTTTACCTTGCAAAGCGCATTCTGATCAGGGAATCAAAGCCGGTGTCGTCGTAGTGCCCTGCAATGGTTCTCAGACCTGTTCTAGATCCGGAATCTGCGTGACAGCCACGAAAGATCGATCAGGCGTATGCGTGTCGCCTTCGTTCGGTATGCGATCCGGTACCTGTGGTCAACCGTCAGGTACTTGCGGTCGCGAATCTAGTTGCGATTTTAATATCTCCAACTGTCCGAATTCTGATATCTGCGTAACTCCGTGTGCCGATGGTTCTGTTTGCGTGGCACCTTGCAAAAAACTTGGTCCGAATCAATCCAAGGCAAATCTTCCCTTCCCTCAAATCCCGCTTCCCTATGAAGAAATTACCCCACCAGCTCCTCAATGTTCAGCTCCTAGCTTCAAACCTCGCACTAACCTGAGTGGTCAGCTTGCCCGATTGACCGCCAAAAACGGCCAATCAAACGTGCCCATGGTACAGCTTTACAAACCGATCCAGACCGAACCGATTCAGACTCAGACTCCTCAGGCCCAGAGTTACACCGAAAACACTTATTACCACACTCAGAGCTACCGCGAAACCCACTGCGAATCCGGCAATCATTGCCAGAACACTCAGAACCGCTGCCAAGACCAGATCCATTGTGATCCCCTTAGTGAAACCCAGAATTTAGTAGACCCACCAAATTTGTCGTCCCACCCGGATCTAGGTACTGGAATCGGTGGCCTCGGCAGCGCGGGTTCCAAGAGCGGATCGTTCGCTGGTAGCAGTGCGCCCAAACGTGGACGGGGTATCCTGAATCAGGCTGTCGGAGCGGGATCGCGTATACCCCTGTGCGCTCACTGCAACTCATATGTCAGGTACTCGGGATTGTCCGGTTCGATAATAATGACGATGTTTGCTACTTTCGTTGTTGCTTTTCGTATCTTGTCCTAGACATATATGTTTTACTTTTTACAAACGTTTTTTCTTTATTCATACTCGTTTTCATATTGATGCTTGTACATATTAGTGTGCGTGTGTATGTGAATCTATTCTTTAGGTGTTGTTTTTATTATTCTTAGGGATCTTTCCTATTTTAAATTATTCGAAGAATTTTTAGAAAAATTAAAGCCATCATATATTTTTGCATCTGTCGTCTGCAGCTTATTCGAAATAGGTTCTCAGGCTTATATTTTTGAAATATTAATTTACACAGTTATGCACTATTTTAGATGAGATGTAAGTAAAAATATATCACTATAGATGTAGTTAAATATAATTAAAAAAATTTTATGTCATTACATTGGAACGCAATTTCAACTCTTTCTGTATTATTTAATTTTATTATGCCCAATGTTATATTTTGCAATTTTTCCAGATATTTTATTTATTAAAATTCTATATTTTGTTATACAATATTTTTTGTTATATTTCTGCATTATGTTTTCGTTTATCAGAGTAATATACGAAAGTTTATTGCATTTGTTTGTATCAGTAATTGTCTAAGTGATTAACATGATTTCCGTTGCATGTGTTGTTGACAGCTAACGAAAAAAATACTAATCACAAATCGAACGGCTTCACTCTAAAACCAGTGTGTTGTAAAGACGGCAAAGATTGCATAAGGTTTGTATAAAACTTCACTTTGCAAATATCTATTAACACCTTGTTTTTTTTAAATATATACATATATATTACAATACCAAATTAATTATAATATAATTATAGAGGGCCTTTCATCACCGCTTTGGGCCAAATCTGGTGCCCCGATCATTTTGTTTGCGTTAACGCCCAATGCCGTCGTCCTCTTCAAGATATCGGCTTCGTCGAGGAAAAAGGACAACTGTATTGCGAGTATTGTTTCGAGAAATTTATTGCTCCTACGTGTAACAAGTGTAACAACAAAATCAAGGGCGTGAGTACAATCGATGATTTATCATCGATAAAATAATTCGATTTATTAATGATCCTTTTCATTTTAATATATAGGATTGCTTGAACGCGATTGGAAAGCACTTCCACCCTGAGTGCTTCAACTGCGCTTATTGTGGCAAACTCTTCGGTAATAATCCGTTCTTCTTGGAGGAAGGATTACCTTATTGCGAAGCTGGTTAGTATTTCCGCGATAAAACATAAACGTAAAGTGTACCACGGCGATTAAAAAATATAACAATAACATGTATTAAATTCAAAATACTTTATTTAAGTTACATTTATTTCATTAAGTTATATATTATTCAATTAAATATGCAAAATTATAAGTGGCAATCTTTTCCTCAATATAGACTGGAACGAGCTGTTTACCACGAAATGCTTTGCGTGTGGATTCCCAGTCGAGGTTGGCGACCGTTGGGTGGAAGCCCTGAACAACAACTATCACAGCCAGTGCTTCAACTGTACGGTAAGTAATAATTTTTAGAAGAGTTTTACTCCTGTCAACATTCTACTTTTTATTTTGTATTATTTTTATTCGTTTTTTAAAGCTTTATCATTTTTATCGTGCATCGAAATATACAGGGAATTTCTAAATCTACTAAACCGATGTAAAATTATTTTAAGATTAATATTGAGCGTTTGTTTTTTTTTTTGTTAATGTATTAGATGTGTAAGAAGAATCTCGAGGGCCAAAGCTTCTACGCGAAAGGCGGTCGTCCTTTTTGTAAAAATCATGCACGTTAAAATCATCCTCGACCATCGGATACGATCGATGGGATGACAAGAGGGGAAAAATAGAGAAGAGCAAAGAAATGAAGGAAAAGTGCAACGAAGAAAGAAGCATACAAAGTTAATGCATCAATTACTTTATCGTGATTATTTTTTTTCTGTATCTTCGATCAAGATCACTTTAACTAACCCTTTGTTAAATCCACGAGCGATCTTTCGTATAGCTATAAAAATACAGGATTAATTAGGGTGATTTTGACAACGAAACTTCTTTGTCATCGACTCTGATAATGAATCGCAATATCGATAATTGAAAGAAAAATGCGGCTATTTATAGAATAGATACATCATAAAATGATATAAAAAGTAATAATAAAGATAGAATTTTAAAAAGCGATGATTATCAATAATATTAAATGATATAAATATTACATTTTTTAGCGTCACTAATCACCTTAATTAATTTTACGCAATGCACACGAAGTACTACTAATGTCGCGCGTCGCCCGGCTACGAGAGAGATTTATTAATTAATATTTATTATCTAGCTTAATTAAGAATGGCGCAGGAGGTCATCGACCATCCCAACTCTAAAGAGTTCAATGGAGATATAGATCTCCATTTCCAATCTATAAAATTTAATAATTTATTAATCTTTCATTTATAAAAGATTCTAAAACATACAGTTAAAAGAAACTATATAAATATATAGTTTCCTTTCAATTAAATATTTTTTAAAAAGAGCGTTGGTTTTATCATGATTTTATATATGTCGCATAGCTTTCGTTAAACATTCATTTATGCTCTTTAGAATTAAACGATCTTGCGTCTATTAACATGCAGTCTTGTTTTTGACAATTCCGTTTACGAATATTCAGCCATCGTCATACTTTGCGTCACGACATTGACGTCGACCGCGAGCGAACAGAGCAATTAATTACGTTGAGGACGTTTAATGATGTATCCTTGCGTTTAATAACAGGAGGCCTAATCGCGATCCTAGCAGGATTAGCGGAATACCTCGTAAAATCGTTCGCGGCAGGAAACACTAGGACGATACAACACATAACGAACGAGCCGTCGGCGGAGTCGTCTCGATCATGGATCACGCAAAGGTCATCAGAACAATTAGTATTACGTGGGCATAATTTCGTATTTCCAAGGTGCATCGGAATGCAGTGAGCGTTAACAAAGTCCCAGATAGCATTTCTTTGCTTGACAATCGACGACGGCGGTGCATCGTGACGAGAAAAAGAAAGCACGATCGTGAGAAAATAGAATGAATGATTGTAGAAATCAGATTGAAAGTATGAATGACGAGTAAATGCGTTAATTACATATAAAGAGAGGAAATGGTTACATGGTTTCTGAGCAATCAAAATTGCATGCGATGACAAATTGCATGCGATCAGATTTTAAACACGTACAATTCTGATACAAGATTAATGATAATAATAAAACAAATTTAAACAATTTGATTTTATTTGCTTTGTTTTTTATAAGATTTAGTCTTGTAATTATCGCGCGAAATTTGTTACATATTCTTAAAATAGTCCAACAATAGCAAATTCTATTGTGGATATATTTTAAGATAATTACAAACGCAAACTTTTGAAATTAAATATTACATTAAATAATATTATTTATTCTTAATAACAAAAGAATTAATTTAGTCATTATTAATCGATGAGAAATGTCATAATGTTTAACAAACAGTTGAAAATTGCATACTCGGAAATATATGCTAGTCAAATGTTGAAAATTCCATTCTTAAATTTATGAATTTTTTTCATGTAATAGCAACAAATTGTTCTTAATTTATAGACGAAAGAAATATATGCGGAAGAAGTAGCGAGTAATATTAATTTATGAGAGTCAATTCGACATATTTTGTGCATGTAGGTCGTTAAGGATTATTTGCCGAAGATATTTAATAGCTTTACTAAATCGACGACAAGCAGATATATAATCTTAGCGCATGCAAACTTCACCGTAAGTCATCCGCGAGTCTGCCGTACCCTGGAATCAGCCGATTAAAGCCGAGACTACTGATAACAGGTTCAACATGCATCCGGGCTTTCATTTAATCAGCCGATCGATTCGCAAGTTGGAAAAACGAAAGGCTAAAATTCGCACGGTAGGAACGACCTGCTGACAATTCTTAACTCTTTAAACTCCTAACTACTGTAATCTCTACATCAGTCTTTTGTTAAAGAGAACTCTCCCCCTAAAATTGTCATTAAATTCTTTAAAATAAATTCATATTTTAAAATTTTTAGAAATATTAATATATATTGTGTTTTAAATAATATAATAATCAGAATTCGTAATTTCGAAAAGTTTCTAAATCTTTAAATTTTCTTAATTTTTTGGAACTATAACATTTAAGTTTATGGTTTTTCAATGAGGATGATAATAATTAAATTTCTAGATCTACTTCACTACAAATAGTCTAAAATCAATGAAAGAAATCTTTTCCAGGATGTGACGATGCGCGAAATGAAATATTGTTGATTTCTAGTTGTCGGCTAGCTCTATTTCACGAAATAAGAGACTCTAATGACAGATATTGTCATATTATTACGTTACTTCTAATATGTTACCGATTGTGCCATCTGCGTGAGCTTCTGTTATTGCGTAATTATTCTTTCTTTGTGAATGAGAAAAGAAAGAGGAAAAGAATATATGTGCGAGAGACTTGAACAGAACTCGTTTATTTGTGTGGAACGAGTATATAGTATAATTATATAGTATATAAGTGTTTTAAGCTGCGTTGGGGATAATTCTGAAAAAAGAAAAGTATGGTGTGAAAAGAATTTGACTTTACCTGCACGATCGCGAATAATCTTCGACAAACTTCGACTAACGATCAATCAACTATCGCCGTTCGATCATCGACAATCGTACAACGGTGCGGACCATGAAATTTCAACTTTTGTTTGGCTGACTATCAGCTGAGCATCGCACAAGCCTCTGTATGCGTGTCATGTGTTGCTTATGAAATAAAAGAAAATATTCACTCGAGAGTTCCAAATTTCTTATCCTCCCCAGTTTACTGATATCAAGGTATTTTGAAATTAATTATTAAATTATCACAATTATTTACTTGTTAAAGAACAGAATTTTTAAAAACTTTTTTTTAATTTTCAATAATTTTATAGAAATTTGTTAACTCTTATTGTTTATTTTAAATATATTTATAAACATATTTAAAATAAATTTTAAATATATAGGATTATATCTTTTTCCGTTTTATACTGATTGTATACATATTTATGTTTAATAAACTCTTCTACATTGTAAAATTCTGTTACTGAATGTAAGGAGCGAAACTCGACGAGCAAAACTTAAAAATGCCAAAATTGAAACACATCCATTTCATTATATCGAGCTTATTTCAAAAGATAATTTGATCATCTAAATTCATAATAGTATGCGTACATATACTTGCTATTTCTTCTGAGTTTATTTATCGAAACGCGTGTAAAAAGCGTTCTCGAGATTCTCTTATGTTAAAGTCAGTTGAAGCAAATTTTACGGGAGATTTGTGTGTACAACGGGATGTATAATAAAAATCCAGGAAAGCTATAAAACGTACGAACGACCGTAATTATTTACGAGTGTTATTTACAACTGGCACTTCGTATTTCAATAAATGAGAGTATTGATTATGTTATGAAACAGACTGAGAAATGGCGAAGAATCACGTGCGTATTACATCAACTATCTTCTTCATTTATCGACGATTTCAAGAGAGATCGATGCTCGGAATAGATGATCGGAATAAGATTTTCAATGAGAGTGATCAAACCAATTCAGATTTTTCAATCAAAGTTGCTACTCTTTGTTTCATCGATTTATCATTAGCACGACCTCGCGGTATCCGTCTGTCTTCGAAGGAGACTGATGAAAGACAGTCTTTTGCTTCTTCAGAAGTAAATGTTTCAGAATATTTCATAAATAAAAATTATAGTTAGATATTAAAAGCTTGCTAAAAGACTTTTATAAAAGATTAATTTTGGACAACAATACGCTTTGATAAACAAACGTATCGACATAAGCAAGTAAAACGAGTTAGAATCACTAAAACTTATACTAAATTTTATATAAAAAAAGATATTTCAAATTTCACATTTGCAAATATCGAGACTTTTATCCGAAGCTTTCGAGTGATTTTTAAAATATAGAAATCCTTACAATTTTATTTCTTCTTGTCGTTGTATACTTTTGTAACTAAAATCCTTGTCTTTTTTCTCATCTGCTTCGATTCTAAATATAATATCAAATATTCTACTACTCCTAACTACTCCTTTGCACGGATGATTGCGACAAAAAAAGTATCCGGTGAGGAATTTAATTTAACGCGAGACATTTGACATTTGACGTAAAGTCGTTGCGACGTTACGTTCGTCCTTTCGAACTTTTGTCGATTTTCCTATACCTGAGATATACACAGTCCTCATCTTTGAGTACAACCACCTAATCCGCAATTGTGTCCTTCACACATCCATTGGTCGTCAGTGAGTCTTAATTGATCGTTAAGCACGATCAATATAACGATATCGCACATCGTTCCGCAGTGATAAAAACTTTTTCATGAAATTTGGCTAATCGAACATCCTAATTAAACGTTATTATTGAAACTACAATATTTTTTCACGAACTCTAATTATTCCCGCATTTATCGTCGCGTGACATCTGAATGTTCTTTTATCTCTGTCAGAATCTTCGCAAACATCGATTATAATTATCCCTCATTAAAAATGCGTCGGTCATTAAAAAAGACTTTAAAAGCACGTGGGCAATGTTAAAGAAAAGTTCAATCTCGCGTTCGAGCTTGAAACAGTTGCAACTGTCTCTAAAGCCTAAAATACTCGTCGGAAACAGGGTTGGATTAAGTATTTTATAGATCTCTCAGATACTTTAAATTAATTACAAATATTAATAATTAAAATTTTATACATCTAATGTGAAAAACTTAAGGATATTTTCGAAATTTCTGAAAATCCCTTTAACAATATTTTACTTTTTCAAACTGTAATTTCATTATATCGTTCTGATAATATTTTATTGATATTAATTAATATTTACTATTATATTTGCTAAATTTTAGAGTCAGGACTTAAAAGTCGAATACTTTTGTTAATTGTCGGAAAGTATTCAATTTAATATTACGCTCTATTATATTCTGATTTCAATATATAATACTATATTTCAATTTAAAAGG